GGTCAGGCTGGGACAGCGTCTGACTGGCAGTTTCTGATCCTTTTTGCATTCCAAGCTGAACATGAGATCCTCAAACTTGGGGGTCTCTATCTCGATCTGCTCCGTTGTCAATGGCTTATGACGAAGGGGCAGGATGGCTTTGACGCTCCTTGGATGCTCCAGAACCTGGGCCCTGCAGCTTGCAGATCCGTCCTTAAAGCGCACTTTGTAGAGGAACATCAGCGACACGGTCTTCACCGAGTAGTAGCCACGATCCACATAGTCGCCCAGGAACAAGTAGTTTGTCCTGAAAGGGTGGTTTTGGCCCAAAGTTGACTGTGCTGCCCACTTTTGCTTTCGGCACTTGTCAAGCGACTTGTTCGCGACAAATACGTCTCACACAGCACAACTGATATAGAGAGGGTCTCCAAATAGAAGCATCTCTGGGAGTTGGGTTCACTTACATAGGTCCTCCAACCCAAACAGCAAGAAAGCACTGCTGAAACTGAGGTGAGAGCTACCCTAGACCAGCAATGTAGCTGCACCGTCGGAAGCGCCAGCTAGGGCCTAAAAACTGCCCGCCTCATGGGACAATATGCCCAACTGCCTGGAGGCATCCAGCTGGTGAATACACTCAGTTGGCCATGGGTCAAAATCCAAAGCGTACCCCCAGTGAACTTCCAATCCCAACTAAAATAAACGAAAATGGGTGGTGCACCTACCAAACAATGGTACTATTTTCTTTGACTCACAGGTTGTCAAAACCAGGAGCCACCTTTTCATGTCAATGCAGAAACAGAGCCGTTGCGTCGTTTTGGCCAACCTGGCTCAGGGCTGATTCGGGGTTGATCAAACGTCAGGTGGTGCGGGCCCCCCGGCATCTGCGACTCAATCGGGCCCGAAATGCGGCCGAGATTCTCCGGGAGCGGGCCGCCAATACGGAAGAGCTCCTGAGGTCTAGATGCGGCGAACGTGTTGGAATAGTTGTCTTCGATCACCTATACTCGTTGTTGCCCCAAGATAGAAGCAACTGAGCTTTCCGAGGAAACCGCCAAATATGAGCCGTTCCAAAATGCATGACCGAACAAGTTCTACAACAGTCTACGCCAGCAAATATAAGACTTGTTCTAAGAAAAACAAAAAAATGTTGCCAACTGGCCAGTGACCCTCGGCCATTTTCGGAGTCGGTTGGGTGTCCATCGCTTTTGCTTTAACCCCTTAGCAAAAGCATTCACTTTCCTGTCAGCAACAAATGGGAAGCCATGTTGCACCAGATTCGGAGTAAAAGTGGCGAGTTCCCAAAGTCAGGCACCCTCGTTGAACCCGGGCTCGGCTTCCAGAGCTTGCTACCCATGAGTTTCCGAATCTCCTCTTTGCCAGACTCTGTCACTGGGATCAGAAGCCTGTGGGGGCTGGCTCTACCTTTCGAGTTCACCGGTTTTTGTTTAGACATCCAGCAGGAGATGTTCATCTTTTGGGTGTCCCTGGTGACCATCCAAGGGGTGATCTTCCAATTTTCTGCTTGACACGCCCAGTTCGAAGGCGATCGCTCCTTAAGGTCCAAGAACTGCCCATGGATGTCCCCGCAGACGGTCACCTGATCCACCGGATCGGAGGGATGGCTGGGTTGGTATGTTGGTTTGGGCGCAAACAACCACGATACCACCAATCCAGAACATGGTACATTTGAACCATCTGACATCCGGATAGGAATCAATCACTCAGCCAAGCTTGAGGCTTACGATCAACATCTGACAGTTGAGCTTGGGCACCTTTCAACCAACTACAGCTTGAGACTAAAGCAACCCCACACCTGGTCCTGTAGCTTTTCTTGCCCTACCCTCATGGCACCGAGAAGCGGTAGTTGCACGACAAAAGGCGCATGTTCATGCAGGTCTGTGTCTTGCCACAAAGCGTTGCAAGCATTTTTGCGCACCTTGTGCTACGCGGATCGGCTTCACAGGCCCAGCCACAAGGCTAAACCATGGCCCATCCAGGCATCATACATGGCTGTATTTGGCAAAGAGTATCGGCAAACATGAACGCATGTATGTACATACAATATTTTATTTTTGTTGCTTTGCACTTGAGGCTCCCTGAAGCACACAGCAACAAAACACTCAAGCAGCCGCGCGGCTGGACAGCGAACTGGTTGGCAATTGGACTCCTCCTGCAAGATCTCCCGAACTTTTTCCTGACGCGGAGAGGCCCAGTGACCCTGGCAAAAAAACGCTCCGGGTTGCTGGTTGGTTTGTCGAACAACCCACCAACACAAAAAGAGAAACACACGTGCTGCACAAGTTTATGGGCACACTGTTCAGCACTCTGTCAGCTCTATTCAGCTTGGAGCAACTGTGAAAAGCGCGGCTCGTCGCAGTGAATGGTCTGCATCTGCAGCAGGCAGACACATACAGCCGGGAGAACCGGCAAAGATATAATACAAGGACTAATGGAAACCTTTCAGGAGAACCACGAAGCGTCTGACAAGGCCAATGTTTTTGTTCAGTTCACTATTGATATGGCAGTTGATCAAGCGCCAAAGCTTCTGCAAGCCATGTAAGTCTTGACAATCCTACAAGCCATAACTTCAGCCAGCCTTCCTGTATGTCATGGTTAAACTTGTCAAACGTCTACTGAGTCTACTGACCTGCTGAGTCGGCTGCTCAAAAAAACATTTTCGACGCGTTGGTGAGCTCTCAACTGATGAAGCCAACGCTTGCCAACCGCAGCGGCGAGCCCATCTTATTGGTGCCAAGGTTCGCACAGTGACCGGCACTGCGCTTCGGACAGCTCGCCCTTCTCCCTGGCGAGAGTGGTGCAAACCAACTGAGCTACAAAGGACATCTATGTCTAATTACGACTGGCAGCTGGGTCACCAGCAAAACCTGGTATCAAAATTCACAATATGCGCAAAACCTGAAATAGGAATTGGATCCCCAAGTGAAGGATCTTTACCATGAGCTCGTTTTATCCCCAACTATGCGTACGACTGGAACTCCCAACTGCGTCGGCTGCCCTTTGTCAATTTCTGGCAGTGATCCTGCCTCACATGCTCGATCTGTCCCTCCAGGTCGGTATTGACGGCATACTCGTCGGCTGGAGGCATACCCTGGCGCAAACCCAATGGCCCCACTCAATGATCTGGGTGCATCGGAACACTTCAACGACCCAAAAAAACGGTTCTGTATGAAATGAGCCTTGATCGGATTCTTCTTGGAAGAGGTCGCCCCTTTGTGAGGTTGCCATGATTTGCCCATGCTTAACTCCCTTCCTCAAAAACATACGCGTCCCTTCGCTCCGGCTCGGTCACTTCTGACGTTCTTTAGCAGGGGGTGTAAGGCCCCAGGACTACAAGCGGACAGTTGTTTGCTCATATTCCATGAGTGGGTAGTAAGCAGGTGTGGAAAAGACCACATCCATCACCCAAAATCAATACCTTTAGGAACTTACGATAAAAAACTATTTGGCAGCCAAAACAATGCGTCGTGGAATAGCGCATACCTTTCAACGTGTAAAGCTGCTTCCAAAAAGACGCACGTCTGTGACTGGGCAAATATCGCTTGCAGCGTTAAATGTCGGCAGCAAGGCTTCTTTCCATCATTGTCCGTTTCCATTTCTCTGTTCCATCCATGTCCGTCCATATCCATACATATCAATCGATTTGTCATTGATGTCCATGCTTCTAAATCATGCTCAATCCTGCTCCTCCATTCTAATCAACTGATATCTGGTACTAGCCAATTGCTGCTTTTTGTCCACATGTTGAACACCAAGGGACACTGACGTGAGTGACAAATTCATATATGACTCCTTTGCGACATGATTCAAGGGTAGTTCATTATCGCCTCGAGCATGGCGCTCTGAGGCATCCCACGTGTCCTAGCCATCCTAGCATGTTCAGAAGCTCGTCCCTCTACCCAGCGCTTACAGTCGCCTAACCACGTCAGAAATCGGGCCATTCATTGTTTCCCCAACTTCCGGGCCAATGACTCAGCAATGTGCCTCTCATGCGTCTGACTTCTCGGTGCGTTTTCATCCTTGAAAAGGGCTCAGCCAAGCCAACCAAGAATCGCAGAATCTGCAACCGCTCGAATCCCTCGCAAGTTTGACCTGGAGCCACCCGCCCTTTCAGCTTGCAACGTGGCCTAATTTGCACTGCGCCGGACGCTCCAAGGAGGTCCAGTTTCTGAAATCCCGCCCTTTTCAACCGTCTGAAAGGAGACAAGACCATGAGCTCATGTCGTTAGGTCTGCCTTGCCCTCCGAGTCCCCCACTGACGACAAGGTTTGGACACGTGCTCTCATTTCCCCGCCTGCACGTCGGTATGCCCAGCTCCGGATGAATTGGCAGAGGGAGCCCAGACCCTTCGCCCCTTCGAGCCGAGCTGAATCCAAGCAAGACGCCACTGGCAGCTGCGGATGCTAAATACCCAATTGAGTGTGTATGGAGGCAAGTGACTTGAAAGAGGTCTGCAGCCTGGCAACATGGGCGTGGCTCAAAACTCAGCAGTTTGTTTCTACCCACTGGGGGTCGCAGGGTGCCCCATTTTGAGCCGCAGCCACATGGATCTGCCAAAGTTGGGGACCCGTCTGAAAATGATCTCATGTTGGGCTTACATAGCATTTCGACACCAGCCCCATCGCTGACTGACTGAGTGATCATGCTGAAGATGAATGATGATTCTGAAAAAAACGACCATTGCCACGGACAGCAATGCCGTCTACCGTAAATCTCAATTGCCAATTACATGAGTGGCGCGCGAAACTTTTTTCCAGCCCATGGAAGAACCGAACAAGAACTCATCAAGCAGGTATGCCACGACGCGATCCACGTATTTTGAGGACCCGCCCAATCAAGACCACCTAGCTTAAACTCATGCCCAAATCCAAACAAATCCAAACAAATCCAAACAAATTCAACCCCATCCAACCAGCACAGAACCGCAAACGGCAAACGACACCAAAACCCTTGACTGCCAGCGGTGCTGCGAAAGCGCCTCCGCAAAACTGGGGGCCCTCGGCGCGGTAGACACCGCCCAGGATGCCCAGCGGCTGCATCAGCTGAGCCTCGGTTGGATGCCGAGTGGAGAGACCGGAAATACGATGGATGGACATGATGGACGAAGTCCAGTTCGCACCGCGAAATGCAGCCATGGTTGAAACCATTGTTTGTTGGATTTTGTTCGTATCTATGGGGGGATCGTCAGAAACCAGGATTTCTTAGGTGGTTCAGGATTTCGTCCATCCACAGTACTAAGGAATCCCCAAAGGGACCCTTCATGGGTGAGCGTGGTTCACCCTGTGGCTTTCTTCCCCTGCGAAAGGGAGAAGCACGAGCAAACCGTGATTTCTCAAGCCACCGAAAGGCGACTTTTTCCAAGCTTCCAACCAGCGCGCCTTTCAACAGTTGCTTTTCGAAAGTATTCAGACTGGATCCAAGCTGGAACAAAAACCCAACAACATTCACAAATCACCTCGGACAGCCCCAAACGAGGGGAACGAGTCAGGACCGAGTCCGCCACCAGGATGCCGTGAATGGCCACAATGTCGCCGACCTGGGCGGAGAGTGAGATCGGAGCATCCTGAAGGCTCCCTACAAGATGTTTTTGCCTGAGATACGTACAATGTTCAGCTGCCAAGGCTGACCTCTTGTCAAGTAAATAACGTGTTACCTCTCGCGTGTATGTATCACGGGTTTGAGATCGCATTTTTGCGAGAAGCTGCTGACAAATCAAGAGATTCACGCTTTTCAGAAGAACCTGACTCAACTCGTGATTGCAAATATGTTGCTTGCTCGTCCAGGTCCAAGACAAACCAGCTCAAATAGGACCACATGACTCTGCAGGTCTCTATGTGATATAGACAACTTAATGCAATCTGCATATAGATTCATCCAATTTGCATCATGTACATTTGACCATGGGTCAAAATCCAAATCGTACCCCCAGTGAACATCCCAATCCCCACTAAAATAGGTTCTAAAATGGGTGGTGAATTCACCTAGCAACCAAAATGGTGCAAGTTCCATTGGTTTTGACAACCGCGGCCATTTTGGGATTGCTCCCGTTCCTTGCTAAAGCCCCAAGGGTTTCAAAGCGCCCCGAGTTGGGCCCTTGGGCCGCCGGCCGGCAGGTCGCCCGCCAGCACCCGCGAGGCTGTGAGGCCCAGGATGGAGGTGAAGCCCCCCACCACGATCAAAGACTGGCCGAAGTTCAGCCTCGAAGGAGACTGAGGGCTGCTTTGGGGTTGAGCACCTGGAACAAAATCACCAAAGACTTGGTTTCCTCGTTGCTAGTGTGTCTGAAAACAGGGGACCGTGTTTTTTTTTGCAAAACAAAAAGTGGTTTTTCCCTTTGGCCTCCCTCACGCCAAACGGGGGTCCACCATTTTGAGTAACCCCAAAGGGCTTTGGGGTGGGGCCCTTCTGTGGCTTTCTAAACCAGGAACAAAAACACTGGACTTGCTTGAAGTGCGTCCAAAAGCAGGCGTGCCAGGGGTGAAAACAACAGGACCCTTGACAAACCTGTCCCCCGCCCTACAAGGAAGACCCTCGTTTCACCTTTCAGTTCCTCCGGACACAGGCAGCCTGGCCCAAAGTCGATGCCTCGTTCCCACGAGACGCGTTTTAACCAGACCCGGATCTTCATGTTGACTGAGGCCCGTGGCATGGCCAGCGAGTGCAGCACTGAGACCTGGCACGCGATGCCCATGGCTTCCAATTGGGGTCCAGGCGTAGAGCTAGAGCATGTGCACAAGACTCCAAGGGAAAGGGGGCTGAGGATTGGCAGAAGATCAGTCATGGCGCTTTTCATGGGCTTGAGACCCTCTGCATCATCCAAGCGTTGTTGACCTCTGCTCCCAGCCATTCTCCAAAACCTGGTCAAGGTGCCGGATGCAAACGAAAGGCGCCCCTGCCACGAACGAGAACCAAAAGGAGTAGCCATACGTCGATGCTTCCCACCTGCTCCTTCTCAAATCGCGCCAGCGCGTGGTCGTACCTCTTGGTCTCATGCACCTGGCTTGGCAAGATTCATCAAGCTTTGGCTGGGAATGTCCAATATGCCAAAGAATGCTGGCCATACCCAGCCTAGGGTGTCATTTCGAGCAACTAGATGACGCTAGTCAACAATGGGAACCGAACTAAACCGGGGCCATCTAGTTTCAACTACACGGATCTACAAAGGGGTGCCAGGTCTTGGCATAAGTGTCAATCACCTCGTCTCCATGACCCTAACACGTGGTCACCCTAAATGTTGGGCATTACCCTTTGAGTGGAGAGACTCATCAGGTGCCTCGCCCTGGAAGTACTTCACCACCTCGCAGTTGGCCAAGGAGTCGTAGAACACCTTGCGTCCGATTTTCGATGCGGTTGAGTTAAACTCAGGGGTTTCTCTTGGGGAGACCAATAAGGGGGGAAGTAAATGCAACCCCTGGCCCCGAACCCGGGAGCTGCTGGGGATGTCCCGAAATCGGGGAGCTTCTGAATTCAGGAAAAGCCAAATTGAGGCCGAAAGGAAACACACACACACACACACTGGCCATTGCTTTGGTGAGCGAGAGATAGCATCGCGAAGGGATTTGCTCGATGCTCGACATAAACACAACGAACCCAACGCCAGTTTCCAAGCAACTCTTGTAGAAAAAGGCAACCCTCTCTTGGGTCGACCATTCAGAATCGGCAACCAGAAGGGTTCTAGAGGCCAGACTCGCTGCGCAACCACCAGTCTACCTCTGCCCCAACTAAAACAAACACATGTTTCGTTTCCGATACCAACCCAGGCCAGGGATCACGTCCTGAGCTGTGGACCGCGCTGGCATCCTCTTCGGCTCGGTTGGCCCGCCGCATGATCTCCCGCCTGGCAAAACCCGAGGGAAATCGGGCCGACCGATGAAACCTGGAGCGTGTTGCTGGGGAAACACGGGGTTCTATACTCAGAAAAAAGGAGTGCGCAAATCGCGGGAAAGCTGTCATTTTCTGAGGTGAGGTCGAACCAAGGAGAAACTCCCCCAGAGGCGAAACCAAGGACGTATCGGAAACACGGGAGCACATTCATTCAGTGGTTTCATGTTGCCTTGTGTTGTCTAAAAGGTCCGCTAGCCTTGACACACAACAAGTTGCTTTCATCCACGGGACCTTGCAATCATGTGCCCAAACGAAACAGTGCGGCACATCTGTAAACATGATCAAGCCTTTGACCTACCGCCCAAACCATGCGGGAGCTTCAGACATGTCCGCAAATCAGCAAATCAATGCTAGGCTTTCATCATAACAAGCCCGGCAATCCCAATCCATGATCCCACAAGCACGTGTCCCGCAGTACTGTGGGAAAGCTGAAGGAAAACCAACCATTTCGGAGTCCGTACTTGGGCACATACCCAAATGGGAAATCACTACAGGGGGGATTAAGGATCAAGTTCAGAGGATACTGAACAGGCACAATGGTTCGATGCAAGGGATCCGCAGGGACAAGCAATACGAACCCATCTTCATTTGAACTGAGGTGAACATCTCAAGCCCAAGTGCTGCCAACCGCGAAGACTCAAGGCTGCGGTGCGTGCAACACATGAGGCTGGGGTCCGCTGGATCAAGCAGGAAGCTCGTGAGTGATGCCCTTGGAGCTGGCAGTGATGGGTTCCGCCTTGACTCAAAGCCACCTCCACTGCAGAAGGTCAAGTCTGCCCGCGCTTGTCTCAAAAATCAGTGCACTCCCAGGACTTCAAAGCAAAACCAAGAAGGAACTTTCACATGCCTTCTTCTAGGACCCCCACATCCGTCCTTGCCTAACCACGCCAAGCCCGAGCTTTTCTAAGGCTTTCTTAGCTTTCCAAACCTAGAGAACGGCGCTCACAGTCCTGCCTGCGGTTGGAAAACTGGGTTGTAAACACCTCGGAAAATGCGGCGCTGTCAATTTCCGCGGCAAATTCGATGTGTCAAATGAGGGCCGCTTTCACGAGTCTGTAGGTGGTCTTGCAGAAAAAGCACCCCCGAATCCTGGACTGGTCAACTGGCCGCTGGAAAGGGGCCGTATGATTGTTGCTGGAGGGTCTGCTGTAATTGGGGTTGGTGTTGAAGGTGGATCAAGTAAAATCTGCAGCTTTTTGTGGCTGATTGCTTGAAGCTACCCTCACTCTGCCCCGCACCCATCCCACACCAAGCCACAGCCGGCCCTTGCATCAAAGCGCAATCCAAACCCCAACCCAACACAGGACCCACCAAGCCCTGAGACAGCCCTGCAACTTGCTTGCGCAACAGCTTCAAACCATACACCTGCCAGGCAGGCAGCCACCAACCAACCAAGCAAGAAAGGAACTTAAAGCAAAGCAAAGCTAAGCAAAACAAGCAACCAGTTTCCGGGGTGGCACTACCAAACCCTGTCATCCTTTTGCTTGCCACGGCACCAAATGTCATGAACATGGAAGCTTCCCTCGCTTTGCTGGAAACCACCCTCCTCACCTTCTGCTCAACATTCCAAATGTGCGGCGCAAGAACAACACACGTAAACAAGAAAGGCGCTCGCAAGGATAGCGTTGTCAGAACATCAGTTCGGAGCGAGCAACGCATCCTGTATTTGTTCAAAGCTGGATCATGAATTCTTGTTTTTTTGAGGAACGCTTGTGCGAGACATCGTGCAAAGGATGCCTGTTTGACCCAACGCACTGCAACCATCAACACGGGCATTTGCAATTATGCACACGTGGATAAGCCGGTGATGTGTTGTTGTTGCTGCTGTTGGCTGCGGCGTAGTGTGGTTGCGGTTGAAGTTGCGGTTGCGGTTGTGGTTCGTGTCCTTGTTGTTGTTGTTGTTGTTGTTGTTGTTGTTGTTGTTGTTGTTGTTGTTGTCGTTGTCGTTGTCGTTGTCGTTGTCGTTGTCGTTGTCGTTGTTGTTGTTGTTGTTGTTGTTGTTGTTGTTGTTGTTGTTGTTGTTGTTGTTGTTCCTTCCGAGCCGAGATAACGCCGCGCTCGGCACCGTCACAAAACACTGCAAATCGCAGTTTTCTGCTTCGCGAGCAAACAACACTGGGATTTGCGGCGTTCTGGCGCCTTCCCGTCCTCCCGTGCAGCGCGTGCTGAAAACACCGCAAATACCAGCATGTTCTTGTCCCGAGAGCGGATTTCATCGCAAATAACAGTGCTTTGGTAAGAGCACCCGATATTTTCTTGTCCCGAGCGCGGAAACATCGCAAATAGCAGTGTTTTGGTAAAAACACCCAATCAGGTGCACTCGCTCAGCACTGTATCCATGCCAGCCAAATGGTAAGATATGGCAAGAACATCGGTTCAAGTGCACTCGCTCAGCACTGTACCCATGCCAGCCAAATGGTAAGAACACCCGTTCAAGTGCACTTGCTCAGCACTGTATCCTTGCCAGCCAAATGGTAAGAACACCCGTTCAAGTGCACTCGCTCAGCACTGTATCCATGCCAGCCAAATGGTAAGAACACCCGTTCAAGTGCACTCGCTCAGCACTGTATCCATGCCAGCCAAATGGTAAAAACACCCGTTCAAGTGCACTCGCTCAGCACTGTATCCATGCCAGCCAAATGGTAAGAACACCCGTTCAAGCGCACTCGCTCAGCACTGTATCCATGCCAGCCACTCGCTCAGCACTGTATCCATGCCAGCCAAATGGTAAGAACACCCGTTCAAGTGCACTCGCTCGGCACTGTATCCATGCCAGCCAAACGGTAAGAACGCCCGATCATGTGCACTCGCTCAGCACTGTGTCCATGCCAGCCAAATGGTAAGAACACCCGTTCAAGTGAACTCGCTCAGCACTGTATCCATGCCAGCCAAATGGTAAGACACCCGTTCAAGTGCTCTCGCTCAGCACTGTGTCCATGCCAGCCAAATGGTAAGAACACCCGTTCAAGCGCACTCGCTCAGCACTGTATCCATGCCAGCCAAATGGTAAGAACACCCGTTCAAGTGCACTCGCTCAGCACTGTATCCATGCCAGGCAAATGGTAAGAACACCCATTCAAGTGCACTCGCTCAGCGCTGTATCCATGCCAGGCAAATGGTAAGAACACCCGTTCAAGTGCACTCGCTCAGCACAGCCAAACGGTAAGAACACCCGATCATGTGCACTTGCTCAGCACTGTGTCCATGCCAGCCAAATGGTAAAAACACCCATGCCAGCCAAATGGTAAGAACACCCGTTCAAGTGCACTCGCTCAGCACTGTATCCATGCCAGCCAAATGGTAAGAACACCCGTTCAAGTGCACTCGCTCAGCACTGTATCCATGCCAGCCAAATGGTAAGAACACCCATTCAAGTGCACTCGCTCAGCACTGTATCAATGCGAGCCAAATGGTAAGAACACCCGTTCAAGTGTACTTGCTCAGCACTGTATCCATGCCAGCCAAATGGTAAGCAAGAACACCCGTTCAAGTGCATAGGTTCGGAGTGAATCCCTGTTGAGATTTTTGACTAATGAAAACCTTGGGACATACTGTGAGCAGCCGAGGAGCAAGATGGATGAAAACATTTGATGCGCCGCGCTGTGGGTGGGACACAGAAACGCCTTTTTGTGGGGAAGAGCAATCCTTTTGTTTGTCACAAAGTGTGGCGAAACGCATGTGCTTTGTTGAAAACAGTTGTCGCAAACCCACGATTTTTCAAAAAAATCGTGGGTTGCAACATTTGATAAGTGGAGCAGCCAAAAAAACTGCTATCCGCGGTGTGCATTGAAGATTTGCTAGCTTGCCTCTTGATGGCCGCGGCGTTCTGTCGGCTCGTGTGTTGTTGTTGTTGTTGTTGTTGTTGTTGTTGTTGTTGTTGTTGTTGTTGTTGTTGTTGTTGTTGTTGTTGTTGTTGTTGTTGTTGTTGTTGTTGTTTGTTGTTGTTGTTGTTGTTGTTGTTGTTGTTGTTGTTGTTGTTGTTGTTGTTGTTGTTGTTGTTGTTGTTGTTGTTGTTGTTGTTGTTGTTGTTGTTGTTGTTGTTGTTGTTGTTGTTGTTGTTGTTGTTGTTGTTGTTGTTGTTGTTGTTGTTGTTGTTGTTGTTGTTGTTGTTGTTGTTGTTGTTGTTGTTGTTGTTGTTGTTGTTGTTGTTGTTGTTGTTGTTGTTGTTGTTGTTGTTGTTGTTGTTGTTGTTGTTGTTGTTGTTGTTGTTGTTGTTGTTGTTGTTGTTGTTGTTGTTGTTGTTGTTGTTGTTGTTGTTGTTGTTGTTGTTGTTGTTGTTGCTGTTGTTGTTGTTGTTGTTGTTGGTTGTTGTTGTTGTTGTTGTTGTTGTTGGTTGTTGTTGTTGTTGTTGTTGTTGGTTGTTGTTGTTGTTGTTGTTGTTGTTGTTGTTGTTGTTGTTGTTGTTGTTGTTGTTGTTGTTGTTGTTGTTGTTGTGTGTTTGTTGTTGTTGTTGTTGTTGTTGTTGTTGTTGTTTGTTGTTGTTGTTGTTGTTGTTGTTGTTGTTGTTGTTGTTGTTGTTGTTGTTGTTGTTGTTGTTGTTGTTGTTGTTGTTGTTGTTGTTGTTGTTGTTGTTGTTGTTGTTGTTGTTGTTGTTGTTGTTGTTGTTGTTGTTGTTGTTGTTGTTGTTGTTGTTGTTGTTGTTGTTGTTGTTGTTGTTGTTGTTGTTGTTGTTGTTGTTGTTGTTGTTGTTGTTGTTGTTGTTGTTGTTGTTGTTGTGTTTTGTTGTTGGTTGTGGTTGTTGTGGTTGTTGTGGTGGTTGTGGTTGTGGTTGTGGTTGTGGTTGTGGTTGTGGTTGTGGTTGTTGTTGTTGTCGTTGTTGTTCTTGTTGTTTGTTGTTGTTTGTTGTTTGTTGTTTGTTGTTTGTTGTTTGTTGTTTGTTGTTTGTTGGTTGTTGTTGTTGTTGTTGCTGCTGCTGCTGCTGCTGTTGTTGTTGTTGTTGTTCTTGTTGTTCTTGTTCTTGTTCTTGTTGTTATTGTCATTGTTCTTGTAGTGGGTGTTGTGCTGTTTTTGTTCTTGCTCTTGTTCCTGCTGCTGCTGCTGCTGCTGTTGTTGTGGTTCTGGTTGTGTTTACGGCTGGAGTGGTGGTGGTCGTCGTCGTCGTCGCCGGTGTTTTTCACCGTCGTCGTCGTCGTCGCTGCTGCTGCTGTTGTTGCTGCAGTTCATTGTTGGAGATGGTGCTTGCTTTTGCTGTTGCTATTCTTCTTTGGTGGTGAGGGTGGGGTAGTGGCGAGGGTGGTGGTGCTAGGAGTGGGAGTGGGGGAAGTCGTCATGGTGGCGGCGTTTGGCTCCGCCAAGGCTGGATATGCGATTGCTCAACTAGAAACACAGGTAGATATGTACAAGCCACTTGGCCATCGCTGAGGAGCCACGCCACGTACACAGCGATGGTTGAAGTTGCAGCAATGGCACAGCCAGGGCCTATGCTCACACTGCATGCCACAGGAAGCACCAAGAATCCCCGGCCACCCAGCTCTTTGCCCCCTGCTCTTTGCCCCCTGCTCTTTGAGCTGGGTGTTTCGGTGATTCAATTCACATCGGGGATGCCCTGACATGTTTGCTAAACCCGAGTTACTTTAGTCTCCCCAGTCTGCGATACCTTGTGTTGTGCTCTCGATGACAGCTGTTTGTGATGGGTTCCACCACAAAACTCGTATGCCAACTGCCAACTGAAGCTTTGCAAGGCCCTGCACTCCATACAAGGGCCTGCAAATAACAAAGAATCGTGTCCTTTGATTTGCAATGTTCTTCGGAACAAAGCACAGCATAAGCTGAAATTTGCCACAAAGCAGCCTCCAGCTGTTGTCGGAAAAGGTGGCAAAGAAACATGCAGATTGCTCAGGTTCACATAGCGACTTCCTTGGGCTCAGATTTCTCCACCACAGCTGGGCCATGGAACATGCCTCCGTGCTCGCTCCAGTAGTAGCAAGGGGACAACAAGGCCCAGAACATGACGTAGCCGGCATGGACTTGGAATGGAAGCAGTGGATCATCAATGGGGCGGTAGAAGCAGAAGCCGGCAATGACAGCTCCCAAGTTTCCGCCTGCTCCCACCAAAGCGGACACGATTGCCAGTTGTTGCTTGTTCATGAAGGGCACAATGCAATTTTGTTTATTTCAGGACCGTCGGCCTCTCTCGACCTTCAGCCCGCCAGAAAGGTTGCCTAGATGTGGCCGACGTGGCCATCCCCAGGCAGCGCGTAGGTTTCGCGCACTCTGCGCCGCGTGCTGGCCAAGTGTTCCAGCACGTGTACATTGTAGCGCTTGTTGCTTGTGTCGGGCCAGCCAAGCCGGGCCTGCAGGTCAGTGCAGGGCCGGGGTGGCCGGTCGTGGTTGTTGTCCGGACACTGCCAAGCCACATGTTCCCATGTAGGCGTGTGTTGGTGGCACCATGGGCAAGTGCCCGCCGCCGTGCTTCTCATTCGTCGTTGCTTGGCCATGCTAAGTGCTGCACCTGTCAAAACCCCCCGCCAGTCAGGTAAGGGTTGTTGGTACAACATTCTGGCCCTTTTGCATGCTGCTGCACTGTAAGCCGCGCGCTGAAGTGCCTGCGCGTCAGTCCTGCGGGTGCGCAGGTATGTGTTGAACTGCATTTCACGCCAGCTTTCTCGCACAGCATGATCCCAGCTGGACTTCTGAGTTCTGGCAAAGGCAAGCCTGGGCTGGGAAGGGTGTGTCCATTGCCACGGCCCAGCGGTCTGCCAGCCTAGGCTTTGCAGCCACCGCCTCACTTGGCTTTGCCACGTGCCCGGCACCAGGCGGCGGAGCCAGGACAGTCTGCCTTGCTTCCAGGTGCGCCACAGGGCTTTTAGGGCCTGAAAGCCAGCCATGAAGCTTGCGTCAGTCTGGTGGCCCTCAAGCACTCCCAGCAACGTAGTGGCAGACTGCCGCGGCCAGTTCATTGCCAACCGCTGTTGCTGCCGCAGTTTGTGAGCCTCCGCTTTGGTGAAGAGACGAAGTCCCCGCCCCCATGTGGCGCCGCTAACGAAGCATGACTGCCAAAGTGTTCTCTTCATGGCAGTGCACAGGATGCATTCCAGCGGCACCTACACCTATACACGATGGGTCGCTGCTGGATATATTGCCGTATATCCAGCAGCGACCCATTGTGTATAGGTGTAGGTGCCGCTGGAATGCATCCTGTGCACCGGCGCGAGTCTCTTTGTCGCTTTCTGGCTTCACCGAGTCCTGAAGGGCACAATGCCATAGCTGGTCCCTTCGGCCATCTGGACAAAAAGGGAGAAGAAGATGAGCACTGCCAAAGCAACATACCACGGCTGCGTGTTGTCCACCAAACCGAAGCAGAACAGGAAAATGGCCTCAAAGAAGAGGGACAAGAACTGTGCCCAAATGCGGCCACGGAAGCCGACATACTTGAACAGGAGGTCACTGGTGATTCCCCCCAGGGACCGGGCAAAGAGGTTCATCAAGCCAAAAGCCCCCGCCAAGGCCGAAGCATCTGCCGCAGCCATTTGGAAGTAGGTCCTAAAGTGGGTTGCCAACTGATTGTTCATGGCAAGCTCAGTTCCGAAGCATGCCGAGTATTGCATGATCATCACCAGGACGCGGAAATCCTTCAAGACCTCAACGTAGTCCCACAAAGACGGCTTCTTTGTCTTGCCGGTCACTGCCACATCGAAGCGCTTGGCTGTGGGGGTGTCCCAGCACAAAAGCTTCATGGTGACAGCGCAGAGCACAAAGAGCACTGCAGGAACCACCATGGCCACTCGCCAGGCGGTGTCTGGTAGCATGCCAGAGCCCACCATGGGGTTGAAGAGCACCGAAATCATAAAGATTTGGGTCACACCACCGCCCAAGTTGCCCCAGCCCGCTGCAGTGGCATTGGCGGTGCCGACAACATTGGGCGAGAACATGAGCGAGCACCAGAACTGATAAATCGACCTTCCTTTGATGGTGTCCACACGTGACACCAGAACTGATTGGTCACAAACGTGGCACCGGCACACCCAATGAAGAATCGGATCAACGTGTAGTTCCATGGTGCTGTAATGGCAGTAGCCATCGCAACCCAGAAAGCTCCAAAGGTTAGCAGACCGCTCTGAACATTCACTGGGCCAAAGCGTTCCAGCAAGGTGCCAAGGGCAATGCGAACAAAGATTGTTGAGGCCACAGCTGCCACTCCGGCATTGGCAATCATGCCGTTGCATGAAGTCCCTGTGGTGCAAACGCACTTGGCCAGCACTGAAGGTCGGTACTGAAGTTTTTCCTCATCAGTTCCAGTCAACAGTTTGTCAGCAGGCACGGGCTGGCAGTCGGTAGGCACATCGTCAGAGTTCAGAACCTTGCCATATTGGCAGTACTCAAGGCCACTCTTGAGGTTCTTGTACTTCAGGTAGGCCACTCTCTTGGGGTACTCTGCTGTTGGGTACAGCTGATTCTCACATTGGCCCATGCTGGTGGCTACCTCCAGCCCCAAAGGGGCCAAGGCAAACCAGCCTAGGAACGCCAGGAAGAAAGAGAAAGTCGAGGCCCAAAATGCTCGCATATGTGGATTCTGTGAATTAGTTAACGAAGACGCCCTCAGCCCAGAAGGCGGGGCAGCCTCCAAACAGGGGGGCATCATGGATGCCCGAGGCGCCACATGATGGCATCGGCACGTCTGCTGGCTAAGTGTTCAAGCACTTGCACACATGCAGGCGACGAGGGTCGCAGCGGCCAACCAAGCCTCAATTGCATCTGATCTATCGGGATATCAAAATTAAGTTGATCGGAGTTCATGCTGCAGTGCCAAGACCAATGCAAAAAGTCATTAGCAACGTTACACTGCGGGCACATGCCAAAATCATCAGCCATTGGAGAGCGGGCACCAGGGCGGTGCCTGATCTGCCTAACACGCATGGGCGAGATGAACGCGCCCGAAAGCACCGCCATGTGATGGGCGGAGCGAAATGCCATCTGTCTTGCTGCTTTACAACGTGTCTCACTGTATGGAACATGTTGACAATAACTCGCATCGACCCGGCCGCTGCCAAGCCACTGGCGAAAAAGGTCACGGCGCCACCCTTCTCGCAAATCATGCTTGAAACCATCAAGGGAACCATAATCACAACGCCGGTTGGGGATTAAACAAAAGGTTTTATTTAAACCCTGGTGATGCCAAGTCCAGGGAGCAGTGCATTGCCACCCAAGTGTTTTGGCAAAATCACACAGCAGGACTCTACGACGGCTGGGTCGTGTCCAGCACGGGGGCCGTTTGCCGCGCATGCGGCGGCGGAAGGCCCATGCCAGTCCATCACTTGCAATTTTGAAGTCAAAATCCACACCATGGCCTCGCAGCAGGCGACGCAAGTGCGGGCTAGCCTGTGAATGCTTCCAGCAACAAGAGGTGATGGCGTCCTGCAGGGGCAAAATAGCATCCTGCCCTGGTCGCTTTTGTTTCCAGCCATAGGTTGCACAAGGTAGCGCGGCGGCAGCCACATAACGCAGTTTGTGCTCGGGCATGCATGGCGAACAGCATATGTGGATTCTCACGAACAGTCCCACACACGCGCAGCAGTGGCAATTCTGTGGCCTTGTTGTTCTCATCCACTGCCAACTTGAAGTTTGACATGTCTGGAATCTGTGACCTCCGGCCTACTACGACTCCTACTTTGCCGATTGGTTTGAGCAAAATCTTCGGCGGTCTCCAAAGATTGGACACTCTTGGACCCTAGTAGAAATCTGCATTCCCTTTGAAACCTCACCCCAATGGAGCATCACTTTAAATTGGACAAATGGCAGCCCAGCCTGCCAGCGAGCCCATGACGGCCAGGGCCATGAGGCACTCAACGGCGATAGGTAGCACGTTGAAAAGCAACATGTTCAGCACCTGGCAGCTCCCTAATTGGGATTTGGAATTGGGAAAGATTTAGGGTCTCGACACCCTCCTTTTCAGTTGAGATTTGGACGCCCTCCCGAGATTGGATGGACCGATAGACACCCTTCTCTTTCTCTTCTCTTTTTCTCTCGCTTTCTCTTCCTCTTTGTCTTTGTCTTTTTTCTGTCTGTTTCTCGCTCTCTCATTTAAAACACATGCAAACACCATTGGGGTTTTACGAGCTGCGCGCAAAGCCCGCCTCTGTACAAACGTCATGACCGAGCGTTCCAGCTGCTCGCAGCTTTTCCACGACCATGCAACTGCACCTAGTCCTTAAGGTCACGCGCCGGCGCATGCATTCCTAAAGATGTCAAACTACATGCTTCACTTCCTGCATATGTGTTGCATGTATGTTCACTACCGCAGGCCTTGAGCTTACTACTCCGCATGAGTGAAAAGGTTGGCAGCTGCAGACTACATTGGTTGACTGTTTGTTTGAACACTACAGCGCTTGCACTTGTAAGCAAAAGTACCAACTAAATTTAACGTGGTAGCGGAGCCGAGAGCCTAAACATAGGGGAGCTCCAGTAAGCAGTAAGTACTACAACCACAGCAACAGCAGTCACATGCCAAACTACTACGACATGTCAGGAGAAGCAGCATCAGCCTCAGCACAACAAACTACAGGAGCAGAGAACGGGCCAACAGCAGACACAGTAGGAGCCACAACTACGGGAGCAGGAACAGAACAAGACAACGACGTTCAGAGACTACATAGATACAAACTACCACCACCCTTCTTCACTGGTGACTACTCCCAGTATGAAGAATGGCTGTTCAAGCTACAAGCATACCTCGGCCTCAAAGACCGAGACTTCGACCTGGTGCTACAACTAGCACAAGTGGCTACACGACAGATTGACATCAGAACACACATACTCGACCCTACACAAGCAAGCAAAGCAGTAGTAGACCTCTCCAGGGATCTACACTACATCCTCATCAACATCTGTCAGGGAGCAGCTACAGTAGTAAGGCAAAACCGCTACAACGCAAACGGATGTGAAACACTACGACTACTACACAACAGGTTCAGCCTACCAATAGGAACAAGAAGCGTTGGCTACCTTACCAAACTACTGGAACCTACATTCAACGAAGCGCAGTTTGAAGAACAATTTCTACAATGGGAATACGACATCAACCGCTACGAGAAAGACAATGGAACAGCACTACCAGATGGAATCAAAATAGCAATACTACTCAACAAAACCAAAGGAGCACTGCAGCAACACCTCCAACTGCGAGCTGGACAGATCACGAACTACATCGAGATCAGAGCGCTCATCTTGGACTACTACAAGACGATTTCAGCCTTCACTAGATCTACTTCAGCAGTAGGAACAAACTACAATGGAGGAGCTGCACCAATGGATGTTGACAACATATGGAGGAAAGGAAGAAACTACAAAGGCAAAGGAAAAGGAAAAGGCAACTACAAAGGAAGCAAAAGCAAAGGCAATACAGGAGTAAAGGACACTACAAAGGATTCGACAAAGGCAGCAAAGGAAACTACAACAAGGGAGGATACAACAAGAGCAAAGGAAAAGGCTACTCAGGATCCAAAGGATATGGATCAAGCAAAGGCTACAAAGGCCAAGGAAACTACAGCAAACCAAAAGGAAAAGGAAACAACAACTACACAACATGCCATCGATGTGGCAAGCCTGGCCACTGGGCACAAGACTGCAGAGTGCCAGTATGGCACATAGGACAAGGAGAAGAACTACATCCACTAGAACAAGAACAAGCAGATGATGACAACAATGAAGAACTACCTCAGGATGTGAACGACACTTGGGACTGGTACTACGAAGGAGAAGAAGGACAACACGAGGTGAACTACATGGAGGAGAACTGGAACGACTACGACTATGACAACAGCTGGGATTGGAATGACAACAGCTATGACGACACAGCAAACTACATTGGAGGCATCAACGGGTCACACCTTGCCATTGGACACATCAGACAAGCAAACTCAGGACTACACAAGCACAAATCCAAATCACTACTTGGCAAGAGAACAACACACACAACATCATGGAACGACCACAGCAAGAGCTTTCAACAAATCCTACAAGAAGACACCACACAGCTACACTCCGACATAGCAGCAGCAAGACAACAACAAAGGAACAAGAAGATTGAGGACACTATCACACACTACATCATGTACTCCAACTTCAAGTCATACCACCACCTGTTGATCGACTCAGGAGCATCTACACATGTTTGCCCGAAGGACTACGCACCAGACCTACCGCTACGACCTTGTGGAGAATCGTTCCACAACTCTACACGGTTACAAACAAGAAGATTCCTGTCTACGGCATCAAGTACGTTCCCTACAAGCAGGACAACTTCAGGATCATGATACCCTACTACGTTTGTGATGTGAAGTATCCAATCCTGAGTGCATCAAGACTACTTGATAGAGGATACGGACTTGACTTCACTCCACGACACTGCACCATCACACAGGGACAACAACAAGCGCACCTCATACGACACTCAGGACTTTTCTACCTACGAGCAGAGAAGATCGACATCCCTACAGGATTCGACATCTACCCAATGACTACAGACAATGGAAAATCCATTGCTGTGATTCAACCTACAGAGAAAGCAGTACAACAAGAACAAATTGCACCACTCACCCACACAGACCAAGGACTACGACAGATCCTTGGTGGAAACACTGACTACTGGAAACTTGATGGTGGCTACGCCATCGGAGTACACAAACGACCACGCAAAGCATTGTTCACACCACACAACAGCGGTTGCCCAATACCTGAAGGAGAACGAGATGATTGGCGACTAACCATCATCAACAGACAAGGGCAAGAGCAAGAACAACTACAAGAGAACCCAACGCAACTTTCCAAGCAAGAACTACAACGAAACTAGAAGGTGACAACTGGACTGGACCGGACTGGAGAAACCAGATTCAAAAGAAAGATAACACCTACACGCAGAGCAACATCAAAGACCACACCAACAAGGCAGAGCTCACAACCACAACGGCTAATGGACACACCACCAACCAGATCAAAGATCCAACTACGAGCACCACAAAAGATATGGAGACCTAAAGCAGCACCTTTTACAAATCTTGACACCACACAACCAAAGGAGACAATCCACAGACCACTCACAGCACAGGAGGACAACTCTATTCACTCCAACAGATGGACCAGGACATCCACCAATCAGCACACTTGAACCTCACAGAACTACAATCACTCACAACAACTTTGGAGAAGTTTCGCAACGCAAAGATGATTGGACAGTCATGGGCAACGCAGCACTACCATTTCAATGGAAAGGAACAACAAGGTTCACCATGAAGAAAGACTACGAGTACATCCAGGAGAACCACGATGAGGAACAACAACACGAGCATCATGAAGCACACAGAGCAAGAGGACTACGACAACCACAGCAGCCCACTCCACAACAAATAGCAGAACACAATCTTACACACCTACCATACAGAAACTGGTGTCCAATTTGCGTTCAAGGCAAAGGACGCCAAGACAACTACAAGAAACAACAATCACGACAACCCGTCATTCAAGTAGACTTCGCCTACATCAAATCACAACAAGACCCAAAGACCATACCAGTACTGACAGCAGTTGATGTTACTACACAACTGTGTATGGCAGTACTGGTCCCGGACAAACCATCAATGATGGACAACATGGTCAACAACCTACTGTACAAGCATTCATCTTTGAGTGCGGAAGAACACAAGGCATACTACAAAGCGACAACGAAGACACACTCAACGCACTTCTAAAAGCTACAGCAGCAAAAGTCGGCTCATGCGACACTCACCGTCTTACAGCAGCAACCGTCAAGGAAGCGTTGAGCAACTACATGGAACACTCCTCGGACAAATCCGCGTTGTCAAAGCTCAGGTTGAAGCAACTACAGCATGACGATGTCCACAAAGCACTGTCTACTACCTTGGATAGTACGACATGCAGCATGGACGGTAAATCGCTACGTCATCCACTCAGACGGCTACACAAGCTTTGAACGCCGCTGGGGAAGAAACTACGAGCGAGCAATCTGCGAATTTGGCGAGACACTACTTTACCTTCCACCACAACACAAGAAACTTCCAAAAGCAGACCTACGGACGCAGAAATGCATCTGGCTCGGAAAAGTTTCCGAAGCCGGAGAAAACTACGTCGCAACGGAATCAGGCGTACAAAAGGTACGAACAGTACGGAGACTACAACCGGACTTCAAATACGACCTCGCACCGCTGAACAAAGTTTCCGGCACACCATGGGCACCACGACGGAACACCTACAACCCATCGTTCGCAACACTGTTGGATGCGCAACTACAACCGTCAGAGCAAAGAAGGCCCACGATTTCGGACAACAGACGAACGCTACGGGCGACATCGTTGCGGAACCCGCGACAAAACAACAACGCACTACACCACCTCCACGACGTCTACATCGACGTCAAGTTCACGACCACTACCGGATAGTCCTTTGGCTACTTCACCAACCGGACGACAACACCCAATACCAGCACCACCTCGACAAACACTACGACGTCTAACTCCGGAAGAAGTAATGCAACCAACTAAAGCACAGGAGACCTCAAAGGACTCTACAATCAGATCAACGGAGCAAGCAACCAAAGAACCACCACCACTCGTGACACTTCCCAACGGAAAATCCATCACTCCCTACACAAACGACGACACTTCAGAAGACCAACCCATAATCTTCGACAACGAAGGTTACGACGAAACACAACTACTGGAAGGAATGACACACGAGTCAAACCAAATGAAGCTACGACGTCTACGACGAAGTAGATGCGTCTACCGTCGACGACAACGTCATCAGAGAAGCGATGCCTACAAGATGGGTACATAGAAAGAAAGGACCAGGAGTACGAAGCCGAATCGTCGAAAAAGGCTACACAGAGAAGATCGAGGACGAAGACTCGGTCTACGCCTCACATTAATGTTCACGACACTCCGGACACTTCTCGCGCTACAAATGTCACGACCAAACTGGACCGCGCGACTAGGTGACGTCTCTACAGCATTTCTACACGCACCCATCGCAAAAGACCACGACAACGTGACGTCTACCTTAGAACTTGTCCACAACAGGACAAAATCTGGCGACTACAGAAAGCCATGTGTGGACTACGCAGTTCACCAAAAGCATGGCAGGACTACCTGGCTGAAGTGTTACAAAAGCTCAGCTTTGTAAGACTAAAGTCAGAACCTAACGTCTACACCAATGCGACCCGCGACTGCTACATCATGGCCTACGTGGACGATCTACTAGTGCTTGGAGACAAGACTGCGGTCGACTCCGCTTTCGAGGCCGTCCAGAAGCAGGTCCTACTCAAGCACATCGGCTACCTCGAAGCTGGCAAACGGTCCACTACAACCCGACCACAGTGATGGACCAACTACACATTACTGAGCACCAGACAACCACTACACCACCATTGCCCGACAACACACCCACACCCTACACTCAGTTTTTCACTGCACTCACACTTGAAGAGTATCAACTACTCTCACAACAACAAGCAACTCCACTGGCACAACTGGACTACACGCGATCACTGCATCCCTGGAGACCTTCGGATGCCTCACTACAACTCTACACTGCTCAGCGTTTCACTACCTGAAGCAGCCAACGTCCACTACTACCACACGACTTCACTCCACACTACAACCAGCGACAACACCAACTACATCATCATCCAACTCCAGATTGAACAACCACTACTCCTGAGGTACCTCACTTCAGGACAGTTTCTACACTTCACAAGGGACTACATCTCCTACATGATGTCCATACAACAGAACTACTACCTCCCGACTACACCAATTCCACAGACCATCTACAAGGTGAACTACAACATGACCACCTTCACTGACAACTGCAGCCTCAGGAACAACTACCTTTGGAACTACCACATGCCCCTACTACTACCTGAACTACTCCACTACCTTTACAACAGAGACCAACTACACGACTTCCAGCACAAGGCAATTACTACCATCCTCTGCAAGAGTATACAGTACTACGGATTCACACTACTCACCATGACAAACCTCACTCAACATCACAAAGCACTACTACACCGCTTTCTCAGGGAGTACGACCAACACATGTCGTGCCCTGAGATAGACGACGAGCGACTACGGGGAGCTCCAAACTACATGACAACATTTTTCACCATACATTACTACGCGACCTTGGACAACAGACTCCAGATGGTCCAAGACTATCGCGCCCAGAAATGGGGACTACATCTTTGAGCTCATGCTCCACTACAACGAGTGCCTGCCTCACTACTTCCATCCAGCGCCCTACATCGAGCTGGAACCTGAACAGCGTGAACTACTGAGCGCAGGTCACTACTTTTGCCAAATACAGTAGAATTGATGAACAATAATGGTTTTCATCACTACTGTCAATCCATGTCTTGCACTTCAGTTGAAAAGGTACTACAAAGACCTTTTAACTGAGGGGCCGTGTCAAACTACATGCTTCACTTCCTGCATATGTGTTGCATGTATGTTCACTACCGCAGGCCTTGAGCTTACTACTCCGCATGAGTGAAAAGGTTGGCAGCTGCAGACTACATTGGTTGACTGTTTGTTTGAACACTACAGCACTTGCACTTGTAAGCAAAAGTACCAACTGAATTTAACGAAAGAGAGAGAGAGAGAGAGAGAGAGAGAGAGAGAGACTGGAGGTTCAATTCAAACTTCCTTTGGCTGGGCATATGCATATTTGCCCTGGAAATGTGATCCCCGGGAAAACGAAGATAACTTTCGCGACCCCTATCCAGGGCTGCAAACACAACATTCAAAGCAGAAGTAGCACGCGATGAAGTACACTTCCGCAGTCTCGGCTGGAAAGTCACAACTTTTCAGTACGCGCGTAGCACTACGCAAACCTCCGCAGCCCCAGATCGAAAGTGGCAACTTTTCAGTTCCAACGCAGTACGCAAAGTGCACTTCCGCAGCCCAGCTCGAAAGCCGTGGAGAAGCACAGGAGGGACCCGCGGGCCACCCATGTCCGGAAACTGGAGATCTACTTTATTTCGCAAAACTTTCGCGGATCTTGCGCCGCACATTGCCAAAAATCCGACTGGGAAGCTGCGCTTAACCGAACAAGAAAGCTTCAAAACACACCGGCTCCACCAAGCTCCTTTCTGCATGGGGTTTCTTTTGCAGCCACATTCTTGTGCTCCAATCCTCAGACTGTGCTTTCCCAACTTTACTGTGTGCATTCTCCCCACCTGCCGGCAAATACCTGTGATTCATCATTCCATCTTCCCTTTAAGAAACCATGCTTGGACACGACTTTCGTGAACAAAGAAAAACTTGCGCGACCTCCTTCGCAAAGCTTTCGTGGACGGCAACACTAATTAAGATCAAAAGGTATTCCCCTTCATATCTGAATTCAAGGACCCTGCGGACGACTCCCACATAAACTTGCTGTTCCAATGTGTGCTTAATTGCTCAGTGTCATGCATTGCGCCTGCTTGGTACATCTGCTGGCTTCGAAGCATAGCTCTTCAGTAGACTAAGAAGAAGGGGATAGCTCGAAGGGTTTGCCTCACCGAATGATCTCTGGAGACATGCAACGCCTAAGGACAGACTGGACAAACACCAGCGGCGTGTTCTTCTTTTGAACGCTCGGCATGGCCATCCCCACCCCCCGTCCGAGCCGAACGCCCCGACCGCCTGCGTGAGACTCTTGGTGGCGCGGTTCACCACAACCTCGGATCTTGCAAACGGACATCGGCGGAGTGCTGCCTGTGCTGTAGGATTTTGAGCAGAAACTGGGACAAAGAACCTTGCCAGCTGTAGACGCTACAATTTGTCCAGGTAGGCAGGGCTGTGATCGGCTGTTGGTGAAGCGCCCATGTTATAACTTGTGACGGATGCTATATCCTTGCTTTGCGACCAATATGTTTCATCGCGCCGCTCATCTTGCCCAACCCGGTCGAGAAAATGAGGGGAACAAAACCCCACGTCAACGAACCAGGGCTGCGTCTGCGGGCTTGGGGCCTGGTTTGAAGCCCCTTGGCATTCTCAAGTCAACTGCCCAACTCACCACCACTTCAGGGCTGGCAGAGCCCTTTTCGGCTTGCTTAGCTTTCAAGGTGAGCCCGGGACGAAATGGTTGAAGCTGGTCCCGGGCTGCTGGCATTGAGGGCACCCGGCTTGCTAGAGAGCAGGTATGACCTCGGATTGCAGCGAACAGCGAACGAACCTCGTGGTGTTGGATGCCGTAAAGTGGAAAAGCATAATATGTTAAAGCAAACCAGGTGACAACAAAGACAGGCTCATTTCAATGCAGTGCAGGATGTGGATAAAGCAGACATTAGGCAAGCAATGCCAAAGGATGCAAGTGTTCTGAACAAACATGGGTTGGCCGCATGCGCCAATAATCATGCACTCCTGGGTGCCTAGTTCGCGCGAGACGCTGCGACTCTTGACTTCGTGATTTTCCAGTGTCAACATTCAGGATTTCCAGAAATGCTTAGCTTCTGTTGGCTTTTCCTTTTCAAATCATCCCAAACACGGCCCAACCTGCTTTACTGCATGCCCTCATGCCCAGCATTTGCTCATTGAGTTCGACCCTAAATCCAGGGCTTGCATGTGCCCTGTCATTACACCAGATTTGCGGCAAACATCTGGCTCAAAAGAGGCGATCAAGGCTGAAAGAGAAATCTACACTCGGCTCAAACTGCAAAACAAAGGACTCACCCAACTCATGTTTCAAGAAACCAAGTGCTTCCACGGATTTGACGGAGACATAGCACTTGCACTGGTGAGGCCAAAAGGCTGCTGGCAATGATGAGCCATCAGCCATCAGCAAGTACGCATTTGGATTACACTGGGGTGTCTCTCAATACACAAATCTAGGGCCCCAAGACCCTCTCCCACTTTACTTTCGGCACTCACAAACGCCGTATCAGCAACCCCAGCGGCGTATCCAGGGTATGGAGGTGCCTTAGCCAGCGCGATGAACCAATGCGGCGGGGGAAAGCAAAATGCAATTCTCACATTGAATTTGAGGCAACTTGTTGCTGTGTAGCAAATCCCACCTAGACCATGGGCTGGCCCTAGCCCGTCTGAAAACCAACCTCAGTCGTTCATCTCAGCGGCCCACTGCTCGGTTTTGACCATGGCAACTAAGTGGGACCCACCTTTGATGCTAAAGGAACTTAGGGTGTTGTCGCAGGCCTCTGCCATCCCTTCCTCCAGACCTCAGCATGGCTTGGCTCCAAAGCATCTCGTTCAAACTTTCTATGTAGCCTTTTTTGAGCTCTCAGCCACAGTCATCAGCTAAAAGCGATTCAACTGGCGTGCGTATGCTTTGGGGCAGTCTAGTGACAGCCCCAATAAGACAGACATACGAAAAGTCAAGAGATAAACCGCAAGGCGGTTAAAAATACAACACATCCATTCTGCTTCTTCACATCCATTCTGCATCTATGGGCCTTCAAAAAGCAAATGGGTGTGTTTAAATAGGGACCCCCCCCCCATGGTGGCGTTCTCCGTCAAGTTCTGCTGAAACCCACCCCCCCAAAAAAAAACCTCGCCAGAGCAACATCAGAGCGCAGTTTTGCTGTGTTTGGCTCACTGCCTGAACCCGTGTCAGGTTGGTGGTACACCTACACCCACCATTCTTACAACCCCTGTCCTTCAAAGCCTACTCTTAAGGCCAAGCCGCTGGAAGCTGCGCCGTGCCAGAGCCCGGCAGCTGCGCTGCGACACTGTGGCGAAGAGGGCGGCCCGCAGCTCGTTGAACGCCTCAGTGACCCAGTGCGGCGGTCAATCAGGAAGCAAAACAAAATGATAAGTGTTTAAGGTTGATAAGCATACAAATGATAACAATAGGGATGATGATGGCGATAACGATGGAGATGACGGCGACGAGGATGAGGATGATGATGATGACGAAGATGATGAGGAGGAGGAGGAGGAGGACGACGATGACGACGACGAAGATACGTAGGACTGATAACGATGTGTAACATGTCGATGGTAAATGCTGATTAGTAATAGTAACATTGCTATTGCAAATATGTTTATCCTCATGCGGCTGATGATGATTAGTAGGGATGATACGGATAAGAGGATCATCAGGATGTTTGCAACAAAGGGACCGATGCGGAAGAAGATACGGGCGACGGAGATGATACGGACAACATAAACAGCGCTGATAATGGTGATAAGGGTGATCGTAATGATACGTATGATAGGGGTGACAAAATTAATAGGGATAATAAGAAGGATGCAAATGACATGGATGACAATTCTGGCAAGTACGGTGAGAATCATAAGGACGATGAGGATGATAAGGAGAAGGTGATTGGCTGATAGGGATGAGACAGCAAGAATAAAGAGGATCACAAAGGTGAGTATGATGATGAGAAGGATAAAGCGGACACGGAATTGAAGTGGTGACAAGAAGGATAGGGAGGACAAGGATGTGCTGGTGCCAGGGTGGCCGAGGTGCTGGCATTTGCGAGGCTGGTGGTAATGCAAATGAGAAGAAACGCTGAGAGAAACATATCTCTGCGCAGATTTCCAAATCAATGCACCCATGAGATCCTGATACGACAAGATTGGCGCGCGCACACACACACAACCAAACAGTGCTAAAGGTGCTCAATGGGTTTCCCCCAGCTGGCTTGACGGTTGATGCCAGCATTTCTCAAGATCCGGCCACAGTTCTCAGGCGAAAATTTCTCAAATCATACGAGGTACCCTTCACCTTCAGTCAGTCTGCGGCTTTGTTGCCGAGAGATTCTGTGAAGGCCAGGGGCTGCATCACGGGAGGGGCTGCATCACCATCATTGACAACGTAGCAACTGCAACGCGCAACCGGACTTCTTGCGGGCGACTGCAAACACTAGCACCCCACCCACTGCTTGGCGGGTCATCGTGAAAAACAACGGCTGGGTGAACTTTGAACCCCCCGAAACGGTGAACTTCGCTCGGCCGGGTGGCGCTCGTAGAGAGCCGGGCCAGGCCATAGGCCTCGGATCCATCGGGCAGAATGGTGCCCTTGTGTCCATGTCACACCCAACAAAGCGGCCAACAAACACCATGGAGTTGAAACCAACTCCAATTCTTGGCGTGTTCAATTGTTCGAGGTATGGTGATTCACGTCTTTGTCAAGGACTCGGACAACTGCTGTTCACCGAGCTTGGTAAAATTCTAGGCGCAGTGGCTGACGGGTTTAAACTCATCTTGGTTCTGGATGATGATCTATAAACTACCTCGCATTTAGCCCAAGCAACCATTGAATGAAACACCCCAACGTCCTGCAGTGTTCCTCCTGATATGTCTTCCGCCCCGCGGGCAGTCAGAGCGACATTTTGGTGCCTGTGTGGTTGCAGTCTGGCATAGTTGCTTGGGATTGTTCAAAGTAAAGTAGTGAAGTCTGAATTTGGTTGTTGTAAAGGGAGACACCAAAGCCCATGTTGAGGCAACCGAAATAGGTCCACACATCTCATGCCTTTTGATCGCCTGGCCCCAGAGAACCCTTCTCCGAGTTCGAGTGGACCAGAGCCACACCCCAAGAAATCCATTGCATGGGTCAAACATCAGCCACCCCAACAAAACCGCAGGTGTTCGTCCTTGAAACCCTTTACCTTTGAGTTTCTTGGGGTTGCCCGATTTGTGACAAGGCCCCAGGAATCCACCCAGCTGGCCCATGCCCATTCGACGCCGAAGGGCTGCGAGGAGGCCCATAGGCAGCGCCTCCGCGGTGCCCAGGGCATCCACCAGGTGCCCCAGCCTCGGCATGGCGGCTACGGGGTCAAGGCGGCTCGCATGAACCAGGATTCGGGGAGTGTGTTCTTCCGCTTCCTTGAGTCAACCTGAAACGTTGACTAAAACTGGAAGAAAAGGGAACCCCCGTTTGAAGGCTAAAAGAGAGTGTTCTCCAAGAACACACTCCCATTTGTGAATTTGAACCGGGCCCAGTTCAATGGTGGACATCAAAATTGGGGATTTACGTCCTCCAACTTTGGAGGCTCCAACTCTTGACATTCGCTTGCTGCTTCTCAGCAGGCACCCTCCCCCCCAAAAAAAAGAGAAAAGGAACAACAACCGGTTGCCCCCAGTCAGAAATCCCCTCCCTTCTGGCAACACCCGGACTCGTTGTTTGTCCTTCCCCACCAACCTATCGCAGCAGCAGCTTCCAACTCGCTTTTGGGAATGTCGTCCCCAAAGACTCGCTTCCCCAATGACCCCCGTTGATTCCTCAGCGGTCAAATGGGTGTGGGTCAAAAATAGGTACCGAAAATGGAACCCGATCGGTACATGGAGCCAAGGACCAAACCCCGCGGTTTGCCCCCGCTCTTTCATTTTGAGCCATACCCAACATCGCTTGGGTCGCGTCCCAGGCGCTGAAGGGGCGCCAGGATGGCCAGCGCCTTGCCCGCCACCAGGCCGGTGGCAGCGAAGGCCACCCGCCCCTCGCTCGGCTGAGTCCCGCGCGGGCAAAACCAGGCAGAGGGAGAGGCCGCGGGTTGGGAGTAAAGGAAATACGTACCAAGCCAAGTTGCTAGGGTTCCATACATGTTTTGTGTGGGCGAGTTTTTGGAAAACCCCTTTCTGAGGTGGTTTGCAGGGAAAACAAAAGGAAAGCCATCATTTTGGGTTGCTTTGGCACGGGACGGTTGGGTGTTGGCTGGCCTGTTGCCTTGGCTACTTTTGTCGAGCAAGGACACTGCCTCTCTCCCAAACCGGAAGTGAAAGCAAGATTTGGTTTAGCTTCCAGTGTAGACTAGCACGGGCATGAGCCCGAAGTCGATTCCTATTTTGACGCTGATAAGATCTGATACATTGATAAGATTGCGCGGAAAATCCATCGTGCCGCGATGTCTCTGAAGTGTACCATCGTATACCCGCCACAGTTTGCTTAAGGACCTCTTAGCTACGTGAGTCAAGGGTGTGGCTCCCCTCGATGCGAAACACAAAACTGCAATCTCAAACACGCGTGTGCATGACTGGTGGGCTCTCGTTCACTCCTTGGCCAGGGATTACACAATTCATTGGTGTTTTGTGTTGATAGTTTTGTCTTCCTCCGCAAGAGAGACCCATCAGTTTCAACATGTGGTGCGCAATCCATGCTGTTTGGAAGCATAGTTTCAGTGAATCAGCGCAATCCAAGCCTGAAGCCACTCCCTCCGAAACACATCAAACACCAAGAACAAGGAAACGGAAAGCCAGCAAGCAAGAAAACAACGGAAACCCCAACAAGCAACACAGCAACCAGCACAAAAGATCCAACGAACAGCCAAATCAACCCTCGCCCTACGCACATGGACCAGCCCGCCTGGTGCGATGCCTCACGTGGCCACAAGGAGCGCATCAGCTCCCAAACGGAGGCGCTGCCTGCCAGCTCGATGGGGAAAAAACGGCCACTTTTTTCTTTAAAGGATGGTCTCCAAACTGGTTGGATATCCTTTGGTTTCCCTTTAACTACCAATTAAAAGGCATGCCATGAATTTGAACGCAACCCATATAGCCACTATATATGCCCCGGCTTTCCCCTGGAGTGGTGGTGAGGTACTGGAAACCAGGGTTCCCGCTTTGGATTGCCCCCAAAGACGGCTGAATCCCGGTTCCCCTTTGCGGGAAGTCAGCGGAACCCCAAACCACTGCGGCTATGAGCATCGTTGAAGGTTGTTTGTATTGTAGCTGGTCCTGATGACGCTTTGTGCATTTGCCTGGTGTCAAAGCAATGTTAAACGTCTTGATAATTATGAGTATCAAACTATCTGACTAATTACCTCAGCTGCTTCTGTGCAACAAGGATTGGCAGTACATGCAGTATCTCCTTTGGGCCATGCCTTCTTTGCTTTTTGTCAACCATTGCGTGCCGTTGGCACCTTGTCGCTTCCTGCTCAAACTAAGCCGGTCAACTAATCCGACTGCGAGGCTTGCAATGCCTTCCTATTCCGGTGGTGGGTTCGACTTGCGCACTTGGACCCAGATGGTTCGGGAGCCTGCTTCACGCCGCATCCGAAAATCAAACGCAACTGATGCGGCGGGATGAAATCACAGTGCAAGTGGAAGCAAACAAACACACAACACGCAAGCTCTCAGTGAAGCAACTTGGAAGCCGCCGAGGTACAACCACATCTTTTTGGGGGGTTCTAATTGATTGGCGTCCTGGGGTTCCTTTCAAAGCGCAAAGCGCAGGAAAGACCAGATTTCTGGATCTAAAACACCTTGGCACAGCCACAACTCCCGAACAAAGGACAGCCTGTGAGTCGATCTGGGACACCCACTGCAAGGGCATAAATAATCAAGGGAGAGTGGGGAACTGTAAACCAAGATTAGTTTCCCTTCTGATCGCGGGGCCAATGTGTGATGATTTACGCCAATTTAGACACTTGAATCGCATACATAGCTGCCAGGTCGAGCAAGGAAACCAACTGTTAATCTGACACATTTGAAGACGCTCCCCAACCCGAGTCTTTAGAAAGTAATTTAGAATAGTCGCCGGTTCGCGTTGAAAAGATTGCTGCTGCGCCGGCCAGCCTTCTTTGGGCTGCAAATCTGTGTTGCCTCCTTGTTTCTCCTGACTGCACAAGCGAGGCTTTACTTATTGAAATTGTTGCTCGCCATTTTGACAAAGATAAAGAGGCCTGGGGCCAGGAGTTGCTCCGCTATCAGCGTGCAAGCGATCGGAACCGTTTGTTAGAACCCGTTCAAGGGGCCCTCCAAATAAATGTGGGCAAAAGATGGCAAGAGGTAAACCCAAAGTCAACCAGGGCAGTCACATGTGCCCTCGCGTGTTCGAAGATCTCTGAGAAGGCAAAGCAGGATCTGTCTGGCATCCTTGCTTGCAGTCCGGCTAGGAAATCAAGGTGTCTCGAAACAAATGAAAACAAGATAACAACATGTTTGGCACATGGGGGGAGTTGAAAGAATGAACGCACGTGTCCGTTCCTTTGTGATTTGCTACACGGGAAACCGAAGACTAGAGTAGGCCTGCCGTTCTTGTAGGCACCTCTTGAAACACACCGTAAGGACCTATAAGGGGCTCTTCATGCCTAAAAGATTGAAGGGTTGGTTTGATTTGAGGCCATCAACCCATCCAATGGCCCGAAAGGCGATGTCCAAACCAGTCAAAAGCATACGGATGTGCAACTAACATATTATTAAATGGTATCGTGCAACCAGCAACCCGTCTGTATCTCTGTACCAAATTTAAATGTTGACCTGTTTCAACTCAACCTCAAGCAAGGTTTAACTTTGATGGTTGCACTGACCTTGGTCGTCTTTTCCCAACAACAAGGTGTACCATGGGCGCACAAAGCTGGACCCCCGGCTTCATTCAACTTTCAACCTGTGCAAAGGAGAGCCATCGAACGGCCTGTGGACCCATGGGCAAGCGCCTGTTGCACCCCAAAGCCCAGCCCTCCCAGCAAGGAACCAAGGGAACCAGTTTTACACCAAATGGAACATGTATAGTTGTCTATGTTGTCTCGAAAACAAATATGGTTTTTGGGAAGTAACTGCCATCGTGGAACTGACTCCCTTGCAATGGTTCTCCGATGTCTCTCCTGCCATCGTGGCCGAGAACAGCTGAGACCTGCAGATGAGCAGCTCTTCAGCTTTACGTGGCTTGGTCAGTCTGTGGTATCGTGGCCATCCATTTATTGTGCTGATCCCTGAACGACTGGCAGTCGCTACCTGTGGCGAGCTCCCTCTCGGAAGATGTCAACGCACGTCAGCACTTGGGGATTCCGCTGCGGGCCATTTGAAAGAAAACAAACGGAAACCAACTGTTGGGGAAGGTGCCTAGTTTTGACACCCCACTTGGGGCGGTGGTCGAGGTTGCGGCTCCTTTGGCGCCACGTACGGCAGGTTCCAAAAGGCCCCAAGGTGTCCCCAAATCACAGCAATCAACAGGGAGTCCCACAGAAATGCAATCTTAAGGGTCAGATTTGAGGCTCTGCCCTTTGAGAAAACCTGCCCTCATGAACGCAGGGTCATGTTGCAGGGGCTGAACTCGGGATTTCTTAGGCGGCACGTAAAAAAAGGGACCCCCGAAAGGGTGCCGCTACTTTACCACATGGCTTCCACGTCGACCATTTACGTCACCCTTCCGAAGCGTGGCAAATCAGCTACCATCCAGCCCATTGGAACTGCCTGGTTCCCAAGGAAGGCTGAACTAAACCATTTCCCACTTCAGCCATCGCTTGATTTCGCCCGAATGTTGTAACCGACGCCATCAAGGCAAAGCAAAACATGAAGGAGCCAGAGTGCCCTGCACCACTACATTGAGAAAGCGGAACGCGCTCGTGCCAAACCCAAACATCTCATTTTCCGTCAGCCTTCGGACCCCCACCCCTCCAAGCCCCCACCCCCTCCACCCTGACTCACAGCGCCGCGGGCCTCTGCAAACCATCGGAGCAAACTTTGGACCGACCAGCGGCCTTGCTCCTGGCGGAGGCTCAAATCCGGACTGGAGGCGAATTCAGTGGCCTCCCCGCCGCTTCAAAGCAAAACAGAAATCAAAGAAGGGCCGCCAAATGCCGTGTCACCATGCCACAGCTGCACAACAAAACGGATGGATGAACACCCTCCGAAACACACACCCGACTTTGTCAGGCACCCAACCAAAGGTGATCAATTCCGCGCCGCTTTCAGCAAGAGGGACGACAAAGGACTTCAAGACTGCAAAGATCAAACATCTCGCGCCCCAACAACCGTGAAGGAATTCAAAGTTCTTCACAATTTTCTGGTGAGGGAATGGTGTGCCACACTCCTCTCTGCATGCCCTGCTTGCTTCACTCTGTCAGCCAATTTTCAAGTCTAAAGCTATTGCAAAATTTCGAGCTTCCCCCGACAAATTGAACTTAGTTAGTGCGGGTTGCAACATTGGCTGTGATTGGAGCTAGGTACTCACGAAGAAACCTTGCACCACCGAAAACCAGAGAACAACATACATTATGGCTCCACCCTCGGGAAGGGGAACCTCGCCCAAATGCACCCGCAAATGAAGGTCGCCCGTGCTCTCTTCTACTCATCTGATACGGAAAGAGATGTTGATGACGAGACGTGGGGGGGGCTCTCCCCCAACTGCTGGAAGATATGGGGCCTCTGCCCAGACAAGCTCCTGAGCGGTTTGGAGGGCGCTTTCCTTTCTTCATAGCATAGAGACGGAGAGACGGAGAGAGGGAGGGAGGGAGAGAGGGAGAGAGAGGGAGAGAGAGGGAGAGAGAGAGCTGCTGTTATATTTTTTCTCAGCTCCGTCCGAAAGGGGTTGTTCAAAAAGATCCCCTTTAGTAAAGGGCATGAGGGTTCATAGATTGGGACCCTTTCAGTTGAGCAACCACCCCCCCCCCCCCCCGCGACATCCTGGGCGACATTGCATTGAAAGCCGCAAACAGCGCCACATGGCTTCGATATTTACAGGCACCCAGCACCAAGTCTCATGCAGTGAGAGGGGGGGATATCTGAACATCGGGGACCCCTCTTTGGAGGATGTGGAAACAAGAAACTAAGAGGAAGTCAGCCCTTGAGGGCACCGTATATTTAGGAAAAACATCTAAATATATCTAAATACTGGCTTCTCAAGTGCTTGGTGGCCGTCTGGTCTTCTGTTGGCTAAAGCCTGGTGGCCTCATCGCAGATCTTGTGGTATTTCACACAAAGCGTCATGAAGAGCTAGTAAAGGCTTTGATATTACCACAGGTACTGATTTTAAGCGATTCTCAACACGCAGCGATTCTCAATGCAATGAATCCTTTGCAAGATGCGCCCATGTGCAAGAGGTGCGAACCACAGCAACCTTTCCACGGCCTCCACGGCCGCTCACTCAGCCCACTGGTTTGAGCAGAGTGCGTGTGCACCCTCGATTCAAGCACAGTGCTTGGGAGCAGCGGGGGCTCAAACGGGAGACGTTCAAGCACACAACTGCAAATTGCAAAGAGGCCAACCCGACGATAGGCGCGGGGTCAAAGGACACAATCCAAGATGCCGCTGCTCAATCCCGGCATTTGAGAAATCTTGAGAACAGCATCGCATCTAGTGGAAGGGCGAGCACGCCCAGCTCGAACATGCCAGCATTTGTGAGCTGCACAAAGCAATGAGAACCACGTACTGGCTCAACGTATTTATCATTCGCACGGGCTGCCAAGACTTGTTTATCACTCCAAGGAGAAGTCCCTTTGGTATCACAGAAGTCGCCCAAATCAGTTTCCCTGGCTTGTCTCTTCTTGAGCGATGCCTTGTTTCCTCAAACAAACAACATGGGCAAGCAGAAATTCACGTATCAGCCCTACTTTAAGAGTGACGGGGGTGAGGGTCCCCCAATTCCATTCTTCTAGTCTTCCCCATCAAAACGAAAAAGGAACCATATTCCAGGAGTGACCCCCTCCCTTTAATCCCATGTTCAACGGGGTTTGGACACTCCCGTTTTCCGCGCCACGCAGGTGCCACGCCGGGACGCTGAGAAAACGAAAAATGCCGGCTTCGGCAGTCTCTACCCAACTTCCGAACTTTGATTGGGAACCTGAGCCGTTCCATTCCACCTACCTGTCCGACCCAAGGTACCCAGCGGCCGCGTTTGTGGCCCTCGCATACATGTTGCCAACGTGAACCTGAACCTGGAACGAATGAACCACAAAAACATACAAAAACACACAAGTATTTGCGGGGGAGTAGGTGGCTCGCTTTTGGTCGACCAATTGGACAGGGCAAGCTGAGGCCACGTGAACTGAGGCCATCCTGCGTGTCTCCTAAGGTCTCCGACAATGGGATGTGGTCATAATATCCACCTACCAAACAGAAACATGGACCCAAAAGGTGATGTTCAAACCCAAAACAAGGACAAACACGGACCTTCTATTTCATACGACTCGACATCTTTGGAGTGCCGTTGGCCCATCCCTTTGTTCACCGCTAGCTGAGTGAGACGTCATGCAGCTCCGGCTTGCGCCGTCTCTTTCTGCTTCAGTTTCCTGCTTCGGCTCTTTCTGACTATCTTGGTCAGGAATATGACCTAAGCCGGCAAAGAGGGTGAACACGCAGTCGCAGTCAAGCCGCACTGCAGTGAGATCAGAAGTCAACCCGCGAAAGTATTTGATTGGGGAATGGTTGAAGTTCCTGAGGCAAACATGTTCTAAATAGTCGAATGATGACAATGACCATCCATGGCCATCCTCGACACCATACGACCCTGACTGATCAGGTTTGATATGAGACAAGTTTGAGGAATCCGCGCTCCCAGCAATGTACAAGAAGTACACCACCTGGCGGTCAGCCAAACGCGCTGGTGACATGCCGGTTTTCGAGGCTTTCCAGGCACCACTGAAAGATCGAATTCTGCCGCAAAGCTGCACTGCACTGGCAAGCGAACATGCAACACACACGCACACACAAGCGCACAGGCAGTAATCCAAAACAGTCAACAAACACTCGATGGTACAGGCTCCCTGTGACTAATTGCATGACATCCATCGTATGTGTCTGTATACAACACATTGTGCAGGTACACCTACAGCATGTGAAAACACACAAACGGCAGACCCGAATATCCAAATGCACATGAATGCTTTGTGCTTCTGATGTAAGCGCACATCTCTTTCCAAAACCCATCCATACATAGCAACAAAGAAAGCGCCCCCCATAAACTCCACACCTTCTGCTTGTGGCTGCGATTGCACACCTTCCACATCACCCACTAGTTCTTGAAGCATTCAAACAACAAGTTGATAAACCAAAGTACAGTTGGCCCAGCTCCTGTTTGAACCCTCCAAACAAACACATGACTCACGACCCTTGGCTCAACCACCGGGTGGGATGAGTTGCAAGCCCCTCAGACCCGCACCGCCATGGACATGGCACTTGGGGAGCTCAGCATCTCCTGGGCCAAAGGAACCTCCCGCCCCGGGGAAGAAAATAAAAGAGCGTGGCCCAAAACAAAATTGGGGTTCTTTGGTCCGAGAGGGTCCAAGGAAATTTCAAATTTCCTTGCAAATCCACAGCTGCGCTAGGCTTTCAGGGTGAAAGGGTGGCTTCGACTGCGCCAAAAGGTGTGCTTACCTGGGTTGGTTGGCAGTTTGCGCACCGAGATCTCGGGAGTCGCAAGTGATCGAGTTTGGCTGATGCATCGACGTGTCCTAGCCTTCAACATGTCACCAAACGCGCTTGCTCAGGCCTCATGGCCCCGGCAGGGGCAAGCAGGGAAACCATATCTGGGTGTTTTGTGAGGGGAAGCCAAGCCATTTTGAGGGGCCCTCATTTCAAGACAAACACAGATGGACAAATAGAAAAGAAGTCCTGCCGACAAAAGGGGTGAGGCACTAAAACTAGGCGGACCACCGCAGTACAACAGTTCATCAACTTAAAGGTAAAGCCCTGAGCAACAAAGTCAAGGTTGCCGGTTCAAATCTCCGCCACATGTGTGTGCGCGCGCCTCAAAATTGTAAACCCCCCCCACACAAAAAAAACACGAGAATATCTTCCGGCGGTGTTCCTTTCCCTTTCAACCGACCGCACCCCTTCAAACTGCCCTCGGCCACACTTCGGCCACCCCTCCCCGGCACGCCACCCGAGCGATCCGCGCTCCGCGAGCGCGTCCTTGCCCAGGGCCATCCAGGCCGCGGCCATGCTGGCGCCCATGGCCGCGCCCACCGAGATCTGCGCCTCGCACAAACTTCCACTGGAGTTGGGGGGCTGATGCCCCCTAACCCGGCGCACTTCAGTTTGGGGAGCACAAAGGTGTAAGGTGAACCAAAGGGTCCAATGGAAACAAAACTTCTCCAAGAAGAGCCGTGAAAACTTCTCCAAAACGAAGCTTTGCGGTTGGATTCCCTGCAATCCACCCGACCGGATCCTTTTGCCTTCCATGGTGAACTGGGTGTGAGTTGAGTTCTTTGCGATTCGGGCATTTGTTTTCTTTTGCAAAACCAACTTGGGTGGGTGTGTCTTCAAGTGGGGCACCCTGCAAATGGTGGGTGCTCCTTTTAAGGTTTCCCTTCACCAAGGTGAAAAGATTACCCTCAAAAAAAGGGGCACCTGAGTCACCTGAGTCACAGCCTTGATTTTTCAAAGTTTGGACAGACCATCCACTGACTGGGATAGAGAGACACAGAGAGAGAGAGAGAGAGAGATCAAAAGAGCGACAGCGTGCGAGCGAGAGCGACAGGAAGGAAGGAAGGAAGGAAGGAAGGAAGGAAGGAAGGAAGGAAGGAAGGAAGGAAGGAAGGAAAGAAAGAAAGAAAGAAAGAAAGAACATAGAGAACCCCTAGGCAGCCGGTTTGTCCATGCGACGCAAGTGACGTTGCGTTTTTGCACCCCGGTCTGCCTGAAACGGTGCAGGGTCCCCGTTGAGAGAGGGCGCTTGAAAGACAAACATAGCGACACAGGTGCTGAGGGGAAGACTGCGGGCCGTCCCTGTAGATGCCATGTTTGCCCTTGAAAAACTTCTCAAATCAAGGCCAAAGCGAGCGCATGCGGCAACGCAGTCCAAGCAAAACATCCTGCAAGGGCCCAGACCCAGCTGTGATGACCACAAACAACCCGCAGCACCTCAGAACGCGCCATTCTGTGATGTGCGCATTCTCCCAGGCCATTTGCGCCACTCTCAAACGCTTAGTTTGATCTGACCCCCCTGAGAATCAGTACCAGTAAAGGCTGGAGAAGCCTTCTACATGCAACCGTTGTGACCCATTCCTGCAGCCAAGCGCTGCAGGTCACACGCAGCTTGGAAGCCGAAGAGAGCTTTGACAATGTGCGCTTCTCGAACATGCGTTGCTCACGTCTGAAGTTATGAGCTGCCTCGATTGCGAATCCCCAGTTGTTTTCTAGCGAAGTCTAACGGGGAGAAAGCAACTACAATGCAACACTCCGCGTCTAAGTGGTGCTTAACAATCAAGTTATGCAGCGAACCTCCCTTTGGCGATGATATTTCACAAAAACAAAAAATGAAACTGTCGCTCTCCAAGTGAATGTGAGCCACTGTCAGAACAATATGGACAGCACACACTCAGGGTTGTGTCCCTATTTCTTGCGGTTGACATTGAACAGCCCATTTCTAATGCACCTGTTTCCCCGAAAGTGAGCGACAAAACAGGATACTTTCACAACGAGCTTTGGGGGGCATTGAGCCACATGGGTGTTGCCTTGGCTTCACTTTACCACAACGACCCCCGCAGTTCTCATGGTTCCGGGACCTGCCCCGAGTTTTCGCCGGCCAGGCCAAGAAACGCTGATCAGCACTGCCGCGCTGAGGAGCACCGGCGCAAGGCCCCACCTCAGCTGAGAGCCGTGTTTCTCAAAGAGAAATCGATCCACTAAGATTTGGCAACCGTTTCCTTTTTGTTTGCCAAGTACCAAAAGAGCAGCACAATCTTGAGCCTGGTAAGATTTCTGCGGTACGTAAGATGCTGAAAAGTCTTGAGCAGTGTTAAAAGTGTCGTTTACTCACAAGTGCCAT